AAGATGACCTACCGTAAAAGAACCATCGAAAAACTGACGCGAAAACACCAGGCATTCATACGGTAGAAACTGTATGTTATGCTAAATTGTTATTTATAAGAGGATTCTCGTTGGTGCTTGATTTTTAAAATAGTGACACAATCTTTTTCTACCTCATAGCGATACATGGCTACATAGCCTGTATTACCAAATGGGATAATGTATTCGCGGAGTGATTCGTCGCCAAAAACCGCACGTCCTGCATATGGCATTTTCTTGAGTATATTGAGACTTCGCAAGATAGCTTCCGTGGAACGAAGAGCTGCACTCACATCTTTGTCTTTGAGAAATTCGTAAAATCGTGCAATATCCGTCTGTGATTGTTGAGTATAGTTTAGATATGGCATACAGGCATGGGAGCATTAGGATTGTTGCGAAGCTCCTCAAGCCATTTGTCCATTTCATCTGAAGTCACGTGGAGCCCTGTTTCTTGAAAATGCTGCCAAGAGGCTTTAGCTTCTTGTTGAAACTCCAAACGAGCCGATTCACGCTCAATGTACTCATCCAAGGCTTTAATTGCTAATGCGTGCGCAGTTCGCTCTTGAGCTTTGGCGATGTTATTCAAGCGTGTTTTTTGGTCTTCACGGATACGAAGCGAAAACGGGAGCATAGGGGATTTTTGGGCAATGGTTGGCATAATCGTCACCTGTTAAGTAGTGAAACGTAGTTAACTGTAGTGCAATTATACTGTTTTTCTGAAGAAAGCCAATTATTTATCCTAATCGATCAATTTTCATAAAAAACGTTGCGTTTTACACTGTAATACATATAATGCAGTGTATTGCTAATCCCCCATAGGTATGCTCACTATGTCAACGACAAAAATGCTCAATGTTCGAGTACCAGAGTCAATTTTTACACAACTGGAGAAGCTCGCAGAACTCACAGACCGAAGTAAAAGTTTTCTCACGATCAATGCCTTACAGCGCATGATAGATACAGAATCATGGCAAATACAAGATATCCATAATGGCATTATGGAGGCAGATAAGGGTGATTTTGCATCGGATGATGAAGTCAATAAATTCTTTGCAAAATATGATTGTTAAGTGGACACAAACCGCCCTGAATCATCTTGCATTGATTGCCGATTATATCGCCCAAGATAACCCAGAACGAGCCAAAACATTCATTCAAGAGTTACGGAAAAAGACACAAGCACTTGGTGATTTTCCCAATATGGGCAAGGCTGGGCGTGTTTTTGGTACTCGTGAGCTGGTACTGCATGAGAATTATAGGGGTTTAAGGCGCAGTGGAACAGAAAACACACTTAAGCGGTCAATTTAAATAGCCAAATAAAATCACACGCCTTTGTTTGTTTGATTTCTCAAAGGCAGAAGCTCTCCTCTGATGACGGCTTCAGGCACCGAAAACGAGTATCTTCCCAACATGTTGATGTGTGAGTGCAGTAATGGAGATAATCGCACCACATCACCATCATTTATAATATAACCATCCGCGCGTAACTGCCTCAATGCAGCCTCTATGTAAATGGTGTTCCATAGCACAATCATATTAAGCACCAGACCGAGTGCCCCTAACTGATCTTCTTGGCCTTCTCGGTAATGTTGGCGCAACTCACCGCGTTTACCATAAAAAACTTCGCGCGCAACACTATGACGACCCTCACCACGATTGAGTTGAACCAATGTGCTTCTACGTTTTGCATCATCATCAATATAAGTAAGTGTGTGCAGAGTTTTGTCTATACGCCCAAGCTCAGCAATGGCTTGAGCCAACCGAGTTGGTCGATCACCTACTTGTAATGTACGCATAATACCTGCGGCCGATACTTTACCAAGCTTAAGTGAACCAGCTAAACGAAGCATATCATCCCAATGGGGTATGATTTTCTGCAAGTTTACATGGTGCGCTGAAATTGGATTTAGCAATCCATAATCAGCTTGCGAATCAACCCGCCAAAAGCGTGTGCCTCCAATATCGGCCAAGCGAGGACTAAAATGGTAGCCGAGCAAACGGAATAAACCAAATACCACGTCGCTATACGCTCCCGTGTCCGTCATAATTTGTGTTGGTTGGATGTCCGTTTCCTGTTCTAGTACAACCGATAACAAAACCAAACTATCCCGCAGCGTTCCTGGCACAGTAATCGCATTTAACCCTGAGAACTGATCCGAAATCAAATTGTACCAAGTAATACCCCTACCGATACCAAAATATTTTGGATTTGACCCAGCATGTACTGTACGTACAGGCACTACAAAACGCATACCATCAGCCGAAGCCACCTCGCCACCTCGCCACCTCGCCACCACCCCATAAACTAGCTAACGCAATATGGCTTTGCGCTGCCACCAGCACTGTATTAGCGGCTGTTAACGTATCATCACGTACGTAATTTTGATTGACCCAAGATAAGCGATCCCGTTTGAGTGCTGGAATATCATCACGAATCAATGGTTCTAAGCCTGTGTTACAAGCTTCTGCCATCAGTGCAGCACATATGCTGATGTGTAAATCTGTGGCTCGGGCTGTGCTCTCAGATACGTGTGTGAACGCCTCAACAAAACCTGTGCGGGTCGCAATTTCAAGTATCAACTCAGGTAAATCTACGCATGGCAGCATACTGATTACTTTTTCGCGTAAGAGAACCAATGAGGCTGGCTCTTCAACTTTGTCCAGCGAACTCAGAACCAAATCATGCTTGCCATCACTTGTATCGAAGCGCACGTGTGGGTTGTTAGGCAATCGTTCTGCTACAGCTCGATAGGTTTGATCCAACTCTAAAGTTAAAGCATCCAGTGTTGGTTCAGGATTGATGGATAAGCCGAGTGTTCTACAAATAATAGGTCGCGTAGACTCCCATTCGATGCCATCAAGTAGTCCTGCCCGTGGGTCAGCATAACGCCAACTCGGTGAAACAAAAACCTCGCGTCTTTTCAAAGCTGTTTGCAGTTGTTCCAGTACGCAAAACGTATATGCATGAATATCAACACTTCCATCCTCGCGTAACACATGCCCAATCCAAGCTTTATTAATAATTTCGCGTGGCAAGTTATCACTGGTTTCCTTTTTTCTGAAGTTGATTTTCAGCCATTCAAAGGCAGCCACAACTGATTTGCCAGTAATACTGGCACCAAAACTAATATGTTCAAGTAATGTTGGCAGAAAGCGTGATACTGTTTTGTATTTTGCGTTGAGCTCTTGGTAATACACATTATCTGAAGGTCTAATGAGTGCATTAACATCATCTAGCGCATCTGTCAGCGTGTCTCGAGATATTTTTTCGAACAATCGAATACGTAACTCATTGTCTGAAAAGCTAGTGTCTAGTAGTATTTGACAAGCACTGGCCAAAGTTGAAGCTGCTAAATCTAAATCTTTCAAAGTTCGTAGGCGTGATTTTTTATCAGCTTTAACAGCATTACTGAACAGCTCGCGCAAAAGTGCTTCTAGTACTTCCAATACGTCATCTTGCGCACTGGCTTCTAAACAATGCACAAAAGCAACCAAAGTCGCTAAGCGGCGTGACTTTGGCAAGCGCAAGATAGCACTTGCTTTTGCAACACCAGCAAATCTGGCTAATGCCGCTATGCGAGTTGCAGGGATATGTGCCATAGCTGGAAGTTTGATGCTCAACTCACGTACCGAGTTCAGTCGCCTTAAAGCAAAAACCAAAGAAGGCGTACTTACTCTAACTGGTCCAGTGCGTAGTTTGTCCAGCTGTGACACACGACTACCAATAGGCACAACCAATAAATACTCCAAATTTACCCGCTGCTCATCACTGATACCACAACCAAGTAAACGCCATAACCGCTCTTCGACGCGGCTGCGTAGCCGCGCTACGTGTCGCTCAAGAATGCTACAGCCTGGCAATAGCACCTTATGCGTTACCAGCCAAGTAATTGCTCGTTCAAATAAGATACCTGGTCTATCTGTGCCAGTCCAGCACAATGCATACAACCAACGCGTCAAACGGAACCCAATCTGTTGATCGGCAATTTCGACATAATGAAAGTGGTTGCGAATCTCAATGGCGTGTTGCCTTCGCTGCGCCCCCACGCTGTAGGCTTGTAGATCTATTGTCTCTGCAATATAGAGCTGTTTGGCTATTACCGCAATGACAGATGACGGCACTACTAGGTAATCGTCGAGGAAAGTACCTAAATAACGTACAGTGCCAAGTTGTAGAGCAAAGCCGAACCTATTGTGATTGCCACGCTTTTGTGCAATTCTAAAAAGGTCTGCATCATCAAGATGAAAATAGCGCGACAACTCTTCTGGTGATGGCGCACCATTATAGCAGCCATAACTTTCACGTTGATTTTTAGAAAGAAAATCGACTGGCATCGGCTTTCTCCAATAGGTTTTTTATTTTTTAACTGGTGGCCATTGTCTTGCGGTATGCACCAAAGCCAAAATCCATACGATATTTTGGTCTATTTCGTAGATAAGCCGATAGCTTTCATGCAAAACCAACTCATGTGTGCCAAGAATTCTTCCCACTTGACCTAATTTTGGATATTTGGCTAACCTTGAACCAGCATCACTGAAAGTTTTATCCATTTTAACGGCTGCGATAGGGTTTTCAGCCACGATGTAGTGCCAGATATCGATGCGGTCTTGTTGTGCTTCTGGTGTCCAAAGAACCTTCATGCTTTACTCAAAACGTTCGCTCGCCTCGCAGCAAAATCGTCTTCTATTTCATTATTTGACCTCCCTAAACCAGAGTGCATGGAGGCACGAGATATCGCTACCTTGTGTTGCAGGAATACATCATATTCCCGTGATTCTCGTTGGCGCTGTACAAATTCGCGCATTAACTCGCGCAGAACTTGGGAAGCAGGGCGGTGAGCAGCTTCAGCCGCAGCCATAAAATCCGCGCGCAATTCAGGTTCTAGCTTCATCGTAAAAACGGCTTCTTTTGGCATAATTAACTCCATTAACTTGGTACTTACTTAGTATATACGTTTTCACTACATTTTTCTATTGCCAGTTTATTCACCAGTTTTCAAACTCAACTGATAGATTGCCCATATCCGCTTAACTTGACTCTCGCTACAACCAGACAGTTCAGCAGTTTGCTTGATAGTTTGATGAGCTTTGCGCAATGTGATGATGCGCTGATGAATGGATTTGTTAGGTTTACGTCCAACGTATTTACCTGATACTTTTGCAATTTTCACGCCTTGCCGTTGACGCTCACGACGTATTTCGTAATCGTCACGCGCCATTTGTAGTGCAATTTTGAGTAAGAGCTCTTGTACTGACTCAAGTACAATTTTGGTCACGCTGTCCGATGTCGCAGCAAGGTCTGATAAATCTACGAGACCAGGTATTGCTAAGCGAGCTCCTTTGGAGCGAATCGAGTTGATGAGTTGTTCGGCTTCGACCAATGGCAAACGACTGATACGATCCATTTTTTCAGCTATCACAACATCATTGGGTTGAAGGTCGTGGATCATTCGCAACAGTTCAGGTCGATCAGCTCTGGCCCCAGATGCTTTTTCTCGATAGACTCCAGCAACATAATACCCTGCTGCTCGCACTTTGATTTCAATTTCATCTTGGAGAGCAAGATCTTGTTCATCGGTGCTGACGCGAAGGTAAAGACGGGCAATATTCATGATAATTGATAGCCAAGTTAAGTATACTTCAATTGGCTAGGTATAACAGATATGGCTAATAATTGAAATAGCGATCTATATTGGCTATATGATTTTTGGCTACTTAAATTGACCGCTTAAGTGTGTTTTCTGTTCCACTGCGCCTCAGACCCCAATAACAAACGTTCAGGATTTTCAACTTTTTTGTAGATCAAAAGCCAATCGGGTTCTATGTGGCAATCTCTAAAGCCTGCTAAATTACCCGTGAGGGCGTGGTCTCGTGCGGAATCAGGGAGTTTC